AATCAAATGTCGATAAATGATTAAACCGTTCCATGCAGAGTTAAATTAAAAAAAAAAAACCTATTTAAGGCATATTTTAGAAATTATTTAAATTATATAAAATTCAAAAATCAATTTTTAAGTTTTTTATTTGGAAAAGAAGGGTTCAAACCTGAGCCTAATTCGACCTCGTAAAATCCATAATATGAACAAAATAATGATAGATTTATGCATTCGTAAATTGTAACATTAATAACATAACTAAAATACATGCAATAATTAAATTCATCAACCTAATCTTATTCAATTTATGATAGAATAAACATTATTTTATAATCTTCTTCTTTCATCGAGTACATAGATAGATAAATAGATATTTAAAGGCGTTTTTAAACAATCCTAAGTTCCTGAAAATTACACTTATAGACATTAATGTCAACATTTATGCAAAAAGCAACAGCCTGCTCCTAATAAACTGCTTCCTATCTATACATCAACGCTGAGGAATCAATGATTTTTCTTCATGCTTTCCTCAGAGCGCAAGTTAAGATCAGCACTTCTGTTCTTTCTCTCCCACAGATTGATTGTTTGGTAGAGCACCTAAACTGACCCTGGAAGCTGAATAATAGCCGAGAAGACCCATCATTTCACCTAGGTTAGTAGCTATTAGAAGATAAGTTAGTCATATTTATTCCAGGAAATTAAAATTTGAAGGAAAAATAGATCAAGCATTCGACACCAAGAACAATTAGTGTTAAAGAGTTGTAATTTGCATACCATATATGAATCTCAGTGTCCCAATAATTAGGATGAGGCTTTCTCCACACCCTTTGACCTGTAAGGAGCTATTCTCTGAACTGTCCGCTGGAGGGAACCCAACAAATCTGTCTCGATATATTCATACCTATGCGTGATCAAACAGATATGTTGATTTATCAGTCTATCCCTTCTCAAAATGAATCAACTCTACCAAAACCTCAAGTCTGAAGTCTGAACTACAACGACACCCTCCTATATGCAACTATGATAGTTATGGTTCAATTAATAGAAACCTACTATTAATACTGAGTCCTAATCAATGCATTTAGATGTGATATCAGATACAAGGGAACTTAAGGTTTAAATGACAGACTTACAAGTTTCGGCAGAGATTATCTGTAGTCACAGAAAGAGCAATAATCCTCATTCTAAAACTCAGAATGTCATTCTCGGAGTAGTTATCAAACTTCTCCTCTAAAATTGAAGAAAGCTTCTCAACATTAGCCTCAAATTGCTGCTGTTGATCCTCAAACAAATTTTGTTTCATTTTCCTCTCTGTCTTGCTCATTTCATCTTTGAATAGGTCATCACCAAACATATAGTATGCAAATGCATAAGAATATGAAAGAATCCGCCTTGATCTAAAGAGCCTGTAGAGTCCATTTATTATCCAACTGAAATCTTTAGATGTTGATAAATTTTCCTCCAGTATGTTTATTTTTTCCATTATTGATTCCTTCAACTTAGATTCAAGCTTAAAAGAATCTATATGAGCTTTATATCGATTGTGGTAGTGAATATAGCGCTCAAGGTAGTGCTTTGCAAGCACGCGTTTCTTCTCATTGTCGTCCTTATACCGCCCACAACTGTGACCAGCAATAGATGTATTCGTGTGTTCTTTACCAGTAGCACCACCACAGAGCCAACTGCATAAATAGGAAAGAATTTACAATTTCCAAACGCCTTTCAATTGATCTAGTAGTCAACAGAATAATCATGTAATATAACAAGAAATCACCCAACATAATCCATCTAATTAACCAACTAAATTACACAGTTTCATTCTCACAAGTATTTATCCATTCACATAAGAAAGCAATCAAAGTAAAATGCGACAGGACTTTTTGATAATTCCTCTAGTCCAACTTCCTTACCAAGAGTTCATGTCCATACCAGTAATTATGTTGCAAAATGGAACAGAGATCACAAAATATTATATTATCCGCAAAAGATGGAGATAAGAGCTCTCACCAAAATGATTGCCCACAGAAACAGGATACATGGTTGCAGCCTCCATTCTTTTCAACTGGTTTGCGACATTTTGGGCAAGGCTTTGTGTTGATTGTAATCCAATTAACTGTCTCTGATTCATCATGGCACTTCTTGGACCAGAGTTCCCACATGAGACAAGAACAAGGTGAATGAGCTTCAGATAAACAACTAAAACAAAACTGCATGCCACATGGACATTCAACCTCGCAAAGTTCGTCATCCTCAATCCGTAGTGCATTTCCACAATGAGGGACGCTGGGGCACCATTTAACTCTTCTATTGTCCTCAATATATGATTCTAAAAGAAAACGATCAAATTTCTCCGACAGATTTGGGTCCCTTCTGCTAACTAATTGTCTGATTTTTTCTTCATCACAAACAGCATTACACTTGTGTGCCATGCATCTAATGCGTCTACTCTGGCCCCCATTTATCTTCACAAGAAAATGTTCAGTCCAACCTAAGCAGAGAATCAGATAAGAAAGACTTCAGCCTCCTCATTAAAATTAATTTTCTGGAAAGACAGAGCAACCCAATTTCAGAACTTTTTTATGGAAACATATCCTACAATGTACTTCAGCATTGGAACAATTGAATATAAATACCAAGATTAAATGTCTATTTAAGCATAAAGGGAAACTACAACTGTGAAAATTCATGGAAACTACGACTGTGACAATTCATGAATTTTCCCAAAGCAGACATTACAAAAGAAAACATATTTGATTTATGGCAGCAAACTCACAGTCATTGCAAAAGTAATGACCACAGTCCATAACAGTCAGCATATTGCCCGATACATCATCATAGCAAATATTGCACATAAAGGTAGAAGACGATGACTGGTACGAGAAAAGAGCATGATCATCCAGCACTTGTACACCGGCTGCAGCAAACAATTTATCTTTATCATACTCAACAAGCACTGCAAGCACCTTATCCACGTCCCAACCATAATGAATAAGCAATGTTCTCGCATGGTGTTCTTTCAAAGATAACAAGTCCATTACTCTGTGTAAATCCTCCTTCTGCACCGACAAATAGCCACTCTTCAGTAACCATTATTTCTATAAAAAATCAAATACAACTACAAAATAAGAAGCTAGGGACAAAATCGTAAGTACAGATGCAAAATAGGCTCTACCTGAGCAGCCAAGAGTGACTCCTTTGTGATCACCTGCCAAAAACAGAGAAAATTATGCCAAAAACATAATAAAATAAAATAAAATAAACTTCTTTTTGTTTAACTCTGGAAACCTAAGAGTGATAGATACATTAACATATAAGGCAGAAAGAAAGGAAAAAAATATATTAATATATTCATGCCTGGAGCCGAAATATAAATTTGACAGTAATTAAGCTCAAAAACAACGAAAAGAAATCGCAGAAAAATGTGATTCTCAACGAAGAGTGAAAGAACCGAAAATGACGAGAAACCTTAATGGAAGGAAGGTTCGCGTAGGCCGAAAGCAACTCAGGCTCGAGGGCTTGAAATCCAACCAAAGAGTCATCTCCGTCATCGTCGTCGCAACAATCACCATTATCATCTTCGTAATCGTCGTAATAATATTCGCCATCGCTACTCATATAATCACCCATTCCAATTCCCTATCAAAAAGAACGCGAAAACGCTCTCGATTGTACGTTTCGATCAAATCAAAAAACATAAACAAGAAAAGCCAAGAAGGCTTGCCGACGAAGCAAAACGGCGGAATGGAGCCGGAAGCGAGTTATTCCTTTTCACTTCTCCTCCGGCTCAGAGTGAGCTCACGATCAAGGCTTCGACTGGTGAGAGGCGTGAGACAAGGAACTCTTTACTCAGTGTTTTATTTTAAACAGAATTTATCCTCGAGTAACGGCGAAGAGTTCGCGTTTCGCGCCGTTATTTTTTACGCCGTTAGGATAATTCCGGTTTTTATTAATGTTTTTGCAACTCGGGATAAAAAATAGGGCGGGATTCGGCTAGTAGGAAGAATAACATTACCACCCAGTGTACCAGTTTAACCGTGCTACTTAGGAATTTACATTGCCACTTGGATCGGAAGCGTTTAGCGGGTTGCTTTAGCGTACGCGCAGTCGTATACGTGGCTTTAAAGTACTGGTGTAAAGTCGAGAGTCCTAGGTGGAATATCGTGTACGCCTTAGATTTCTTCCAAAAGCTCTGTTTATTTCCCCAGTATTGCTTTTTGGCTAGTTTAATAAATGACTTTATTAATAAATGTACGATAAAAATTAATTTTCTCTTTAATCACACTCTTTGACTCGAAGTTAATCTAGATAATATACCAATGATAAACTATGAAATAACAAAAGAGTATTTAATAAATAAATTATTTTTCTGTTCTACAAGAAAATAAATAATTTCAAAAAAAAAGAAATGAAAGTTGTTTACCAAAATTAGCAATTTTTTTCTAAAATTAAACAATAATTACTCATTAAAAATAGATATAATATTTAAAAAATTTAAATAAATTTAAATAATTTTTTTATTACGTGATTAATGATTTTTAATCAAAATGTCACTATCTTTTTATATCATGTGGTATTAGCTTGATTTATTGATTTATTATATAAATGATGAAATAACATGTTGATGTGATATGATAATATAATTATATCATATTTTCACTATTATGTCAAAGCTATGTAAGTATATAATGATAAATGACGTTCATTAATTATAAAAACTTTTTCAATACAAAATTAAAATATAAAAGTTTAATTAAATGTAATAAAAAATAAAAATTTATTTGAATTTTTTGAATTGTTTAAGGAAATTTTAAAACATTATATCTTAAATATATAAATTTGGCATTGCTTCCACAAATTCAAAATGATTTTTTGTACACATTTTAATTCTATGACTTGCTAAATTAAGATTATATATGTTTAACTTAAAAGTTTTACCAAATTATTTGGATACATAACTATGTTTTAGTAGAAAAAAAGTATCTTTAGAGTTTATATTTTTTTGATAGTTACATGCTAGCAAATCAACATTACACAAATTTATTCTATTATAAGATTTATTAGAAAAATATAAATTCAAAGATTACTTCTCTTTATTATATAACAAGGAATTGATAAATTAATTTTGGGAGGGGACAGAAGCAAATCAATTAAACCTAAACATTAAGCTTCAAAAAAATCACCATCAAATCACCTTTTCCACATAAAATAAAGGAAAAGAAACCCTTTTTTTCTTTTCGAGTGTACTATTCATTTTGAAGACATATAAAAGAAAGGATCATGCTATGATCTCAAGCATAGGATCTTTGCTTTTGTTTTCAAGCAGAAGAATGTGATGACTTCTAATGGATGTAAACCTCTGTCATCATAACAAATTCCCCATTTTATAATGTGAAAATAGCCGAAAGTGCATGGCTCACATCATTATTTTCATGATATTGAGATACTCCAATTCATTAATTATATCATCAGGAGATTAAACCTAATTAACAGAATGGCTAATGAAGTAGGCATGGAATGGAAATTCGAGGAGGTTAATTTTGATCCTAGCCTCCCTCCAAAAGGCCTAATCCTTTCCTATAACATGAATTAGTTTGGTAAGTTTAGTATCAAATGCTAATGACATATCTACTTATCCAATCTCAGCCTGATATGCTGCCATGGGTTCTCCATTTTCCTGTTTATTTGAGTCTCTCACCACAAAAGGGAGAACAGGGATTGAAACTACAGATCAATATTCCTGACTTGAAATGCAAGAGAATGCTCTTGGGGAATCAGATCTACATACAAAAAGGGTTCTGACAATTTGAAAATGTAAGATATCAGATCATCAAGAAGCTTAAAGAAATGGCAACGAAAAAAATTTTCTACAAACCAACAAACAATGGCGTATTCCAAGTTTCCAACCCCCTTTTTTAACGTTTGGAGTACTGTGGAGCTTTACGAGCCTTTTTGAGCCCAACTTTCTTCCTCTCCACGACTCTGGAATCCCTGGTCAAAAGCCCTTCTTTCCTCAACGGGCTGCGATGGTCCTCATTCACCTTGAGCAATGCACGGGCAATGCCCAGGGAGATTGCCTGAGCCTGTCCCGAGAGGCCACCCCCATGAGCTTTGACAAATACATCGTAACTGGTCTCGTACCCCAATGTCACCAATGGAACTTTTATGTACTGCAGCCACAACGGATTCCCTTGCAGATACTCCTGCATCAGAAATTTAAAGCATTAAAAAAGGCAATTCTAATCAGATTCCTTAAGTTGTCTTTGGTTCTTAGTTTTCATACTTGGTTTTTATGCTTGCC